AAACATTATGAGTTTCTTCCATTTCATTAAAAAGTTATTTAATCTTTGTATTGTTCCCCACATAAAAACTGAGCAGAATTTTATCAGGCAATTGCCTCAAAGTTATAATCTAGAAAATCTTTCTGTAATAAAACCCATATGTCATTGGCGAAAGGTGCAAAGCCCTGGCAGAGAGGGCTGGTCTCGAGAGAGATTCTGCACCCAATCTCGTTAACCAGGGTGGCTCTGATAATCCCTCATCCCCTCACCAGTGAGAAATCAATCTGTACCACTGAATCTTTTTCAACCAGCCACCGGAAAATTTACTGCAGAGAAGGCAGTTTGGGGATAGTCATTGTGGAAAGGGAGCCAGAGGCAAGGCTAAATGTAGGATGGAGGAATTGGAGAGTCTAAAGAAGAGATTGTATTAAACCACACACTACCTTCAGAGAAAGCAGGATGGAGCCCTCCTTTCAGCCCTGACCTCTCTAAGTATACCCAGGTATTTACAGCTGCCATGAACCTGACAGCCCTAGAGAAACTACAAAGAGGGCTCTAGAAACAGTGTAAAACCGGAAGTTGATTGTAGTTTATCCTTTTGCTCCCTTTCAATGTGTACGAGTAGTCTCCTCTCCACACACTCTGCAGCAATTCACGTATTAACCCTATGGTAACAGTCTCAGTTGTGACTTTTTCAATTTGTGATCTAAACACAGCATAGGAGGACCTATATGTCATGACTTAACATGAGGATCATGCTTCCTTTCTGCACAACATACACCATGGTGGTTGATGACCAGTGGATCCCTCTTGGCATAGTTACTAGAATGGTAGTGGTGTTGAACCTTGTAATCCTAGAAAATAAATCCAGAATCAGAAAATAATTAACATATCTCACTGACTAGATAAAACTCTCTAGAGCAATCTTGTCCCTAGAATTGTTTTCTACATAACACATTGTGGGGAAAAAAGAACCAAGAGAGGGGAGGAACTGGAAGTGCTGAAGAACATGTAATCTTACCCTGGCCATTTATTCTAGAATTACACCAAGCTGTAACTGTTGGGAAGAAGAAGGGACAGAGCTAGGCATGGGAAATAGAAATATCTTCCTCTCTTCTATAAGTAGGCAGTAGCCATCTCTAAGATTTTTTCCCCAAGGAGATTTGAAACCCTTTGTGGGAGTTTTTTAGTAAAATATATTTATATATAAAACCCTACTGAAATGTGTGTGTGTAGATGAGGAATACAGAATAGTAGCAGAAGGCTGTCTCCCTACTCCTAATGGGATTTTGTAGCAGCATGTGCGAGTTTGTTTCAGAAGTCAAAAATGAACAGATGTTGGTATAAATTACCTCTGTGTCTGATGTCTTGCAAATTAAAAGCGCGGTTGGCATCGCTAAACAATTTCACTAGGTTTGGGGGGGTGACGTTAGCAGGCAATGATTACTGTAGCAGGTCGGTAAGAATCTTCACACTGCAGCAGAGCAGGAGAGCAAGGGTAAAGAAATGGCGAATAAAATAAGGGCTATATGAATTAATCAGAGATGTTAACATCTCTGATGACAAGTGAACAGGAGGGCACGTGCTCTGGAGCAGCCCCTGACCCACAGCAATTTCTCTGTGCACAAAAAGGGGTTGGTGCTTAGGATCTGATTTATAGGGCACAGCCCTCTTTTAGGGAGCAGCTGTGTCACACATTCGTATATCTCCTATATGGGACTGGCGAGTAGGGAAACTTTCTCCCCTCCCATGTAGGAGATGATGTCTTTTGAATTACTTCTACTTTTACGGTGGTTTCCTGCAGCTCTGTGTACTTGGATTAGGTTGAAGGGGGAGGAATGATTGAGTGGAAAAGGGGTTGTTAAAAAGGATTGGTTAAATTCAAGGAGAGCTTGCCACTGGAGAAACTTCAGAATATCCATTTATTTTTCCTTTTAAACCCTTTTTATCTCTTAAATAGTTTGAGTCTTTAAAAATTCTAAGTCTTAAAATATTGGTTATTCTCCCATTTAGGAAACAATAAGTAATTGGTTGGTCTGAAGGGCAACACAGAAATCATTAGTGAGATCAGTGCAGTGCTCTAGGCCAAGGGCTTTTAGAACAATGACCTGTTCTCCCCAGCAGAGGTTTGTATCACCCATGCCTGGTTTCCAGAGCACCTGCTTCTAACCATGTTGCAGGATCATCTGTTACCTATTTAAAGTCCTTAATAAGCACTCAGAGTAGACAGATAACCCATCCAGTAGAAATAAATAAATGAGACCCACTTCACTCAAAAGCATAAGTAAACTTTTTTGCCCTAAGGCTGAGGGAAAAGATTCCAAGGGATGGGGTTTTTGAGATTGCAAGTCTCCATTATCACCATTTATTCATTCACTCAGAAATTACTGAGTATGGCTCACGCCTGTAATCCTAGCACTCTGGGAGGCCGAAGTGGGCGGATTGCTTGAGGTCAGGAGTTCGAAACCAGCCTGAGCGAGACCCCCGTCTCTACTAAAAATAGAAAGAAATTAATTGACCAACTAAAAGTATATATACAAAAAATTAGCCGGGCATGGTGGTGCATGCCTGTAGTCCCAGCTACTCGGGAGGCTGAGGCAGGAGGATCGCTTGAGCCCAGGACTTTGAGGTTGCTGTGAGCTAGGCTGACGCCATGGCACTCACTCTAGCCTGGGCAACAAAAGTGAGACTCTGTCTCAAAAAAAAAAAAAAAAGAAAGTACTGAATACAAGCTGGGACAATGGCTCTTGCTATAATCCCAATACTTTGGGAGGCCGTGGCAGGAAGATCAGTTGAGGCCAGAAGTTCAAGACCAGCCTGGGCAACATAACGAGACTACATCTCTCCAAAAAAGTTTTTAAATAGCCGAGTGTATTGACATGCACCTGTAGTCCTAGCTACTCAGGAGACTAAGGCAGGAGGGTTACTTGAGCCCAGAAATTTGAGGCTATGTTGAACTATGATCACACTACTGCACTCCAGCTTGGGTGACAGAGCAAGACCCTGTTTCCAAAAAAAAAAAAGTACCGAGTGTAAGAGTAAGAGAACTTAATTACTTACACACTTCTGAAAAGTGTTGTGTTAGTGAGTACTATTATACCAAGCATGTTAATTATTGTTTATATACAAAAGAAAAATAGGGCAGATGGCATTAACATGCTACCTGTTAAAGATGAAGAAACTGAGGCTCAGAAATCTTACCCAGCCCAACATTTCACCCAGCTAAGTACTAGAGCTGGAACTTAACTGAGTTCAAATCCTGTGTTCTCTGGAAAAAGTCCATGCTGCCTCCTATGGCCAAGAAAGTACTTGATTGGATTTCCTCTAGAGTATTTAGTCCTTGACCCCAATCTCTCCATTAACTTGGCATTACTACCATTAAGAGAAATGATTTTTCTTGCAAATAAGCAAAGTACATTAAAAAGGATGCTCACAATGTAGAGAATGGAGCACTGAGAGCCACTAACTAGTTTTATTATTTGTCTATGGAAGGGAAGGAAATTAAAATTTATTGTATTCCTACTTGGTTCTAGTTCTTGTATATATTATCATGCATCTAACCAACATTAATTCAGCAAATACTAAACAATCTCTGCCCTCAGTTCTTACATTTTAGTGGTGGAAGACAAACACATAAACAAGTAATCGCATGCAAATCTTATAGGAACTTTGAGTGTACAGGGTTTGGTATAAAACCACAGTAGAAGGAATGGTCAGTTTGATTTGGGCCAGGGCAGGGTCATGGGCACATGAGGCAAGATCCAGCACTAGGGCTTCTACTCCTAGTTAATGGAATTTCCTTTCCTTTTGTTGGAGCTCAGGAACTAGTGAAAGATAGGGGATGTATAGCTTAAAGTTACTAAAAGCCTCACTGTGGTGACAGACTTTGTATCATTTCTTCATTATACAAGTAAACAAGGAATTGCTAAACTTAGATTGGGATAGAGGGGAGTGGGAGCTCATTTGAGTACCATTTGCTCTGAGCGCGGGAAAGGCAACAAGGAGACTAGGGGCAAAGGGCCTTCTCATTCCTTGAAGGTGCCTCCCTGGCTACCTCACTTCTTTGGTCAGGATGGAGACATGTTCTTGGGAGGCCAACAGCCTGCTTTGTTCCCACCTCATGGTTCCAGAAGACGTCTGGCTCTCAGGCCCAGCCATCAGAAACTTTCTGCACTGTTAAATCCATTTAAGAGATCTGAAAAGATGACCCTGTGGGATGGGATAAAGGGGGTGTTATACTACCTATGCATTTTGAGGATTTGCTTGACAGAGCTAAGTCAGGGGGCTTCTGGATGGCACTTGTAATTGAGAAATGTTTTACTTTCATTTTGGAGCCTATATGTAGGAAAGTAGCTGTATAAACCCACTTGTAACTACAGCATTCAAAGATTGATGGTGCTGAAAGTCAGAGAAAGACACATAAACCTTGCCTGGCTATATTAAATATCTAAGGACTGACAATGCCAAGAGAGAGAAGACCAAAGCTCTATAAACCCTACTTTATTACACCATCCACAGATGAACTGCACTGAGGGAATATAAACCCTGTTATATTACAGTATCCAGGGACTAGCACTACTGAGAGATAGGGGAAATGATCTCTAATTTCGATTTGAGATTATAAATGTCCAGAGACCAACAACCCAGAGAAGACTCTAATCTTGGTTGAATTTTAGCCCCCTAGAGCAAACCCCCTGAGATGGTGAACATGAGTATTAGATTCTTGAGAGAGAGAGAGGTTTTTGGGGAATTCCCTGGTGATTTTTTTTAAAGGTGGATGATACAGTCTTCCCCAGTTGGCCTGTATAGCAATTGCCAACTTCAGAATAGCTCTGTACAGTTTTAGTTGTCAATAGTAGTTTGTTTTTCCCCTTTTTAGGAAGTTTGTGTGATTGAATCTGTCGTGGTAGCAACTTGATATACAATTTAAATCATTCTGCATTTTTTAAATTAAATCTTCCTGTGATCCTTTTTCCAGATTTTAGATTTTCACTTATCTTTTGTTTGCTTTGTGATTCCAGCCAGAGAGATGACACGGGGGAAATTCCTCAACATTCTAGAGAAGCCCAAGAAGTAGCAGCTGTTTGTGGACAGGATGTCCTGGGAACTGTAACCAAGCTCCCTTCCCAGTGCAGCTCTGACGATGCACAACTCACTGCTTCCTCAGGAGAGGCCAAGGGTGTACCTCCAGGACTGCCCCGCTCCCCTCGTCCTGGTACTCTGCACCTCTGAGGACACTCGGCAGCAAGAGAAGAATCTGCTCTACCCAAGGATCATTGCAGTTATTCAGTCAGCTTCCACACTTTGACCTTCTTAGCCTCGGATATTGGTAACACCAGAGGGCATATCATTCTTAAAGATCAAAGTCCTGCTTTATCATTTCCGGAAGTGATTCAGGAGCCTTGGGATCTTACAGTTGATTTGATTCAGTGATGGCAAAGTCATTTGTGACATTTTGATTGAATGGGTTCATTTGAGTTGTACTTGATCTCTGAGGAAGTATTTATGATGCGAGGAGACCAGATTCTGGATCAGACCATGCAGCCTGACCTATGAACTCTCCAGTATATACTAGGTTCCAAGAATCCCCAGCTGGAGAAACCAGAATCTGCTCAAAATGTACACCTGCTTTTTAAACTCTGCGCCTCTCATGATAGTCCCATTCCCCAATGCCTTCCATCCCCACCTCCCAGCCCCACCTTCCAGTTCTGACTCCAGGCAAGGGGATCTCCGAGTAGTGATTTCCTTCTGGAATGAGCTTGTGTAGTAAAAGGCCCATGAAGGTTGCATTGGGTTCTAGACCAAGACCAATCTGAAGGTGACAGAAAGGATTTTTAAGTTCTAGTTAATGTTACAGATTCAAGCAAGAAAGTCAGTATGGCCTGAAAGATAGCAGAACGGGGTGGCTCATGGCAGTTCCCATTTGGTTGAAAACTAGAGGCTGAAATTGACCTTAAAGGAACATGCTATGGGATGTGGCAGTGTTTTGTCCCTTCTTACAGCACATATCAGGTACTTCACCTGTATAACAGAAACACACATACACACACACACATAAGAAAGAGAAAGAGAATTTCCTGACTTAAATACAACTCTCATGGAGTTCTTCACCAGTTATCCTTCTCTGTGTTAAAACCTGAAAATCTAGCCCATGGATAAAATAGATTATACATGTTCTCCATATTTGTTTTATAAGCCAGCCCCCAGCATCTGATGTTTTAAGAAGTACATGGAGTTTTCTAAACTTTGTGAAAAGAATATCCCTGTGACAATAGTCTGATGGTGTTTGGACACAAGAAAAGTTGTGGTCAAGTGTTTGGTCTTAAGTGTCTGTGCTAGACCACAGCACTCTTAAATTTAACAGCTGGTCCATTAACCATTTTCTGACATTTGTGCCTTGTTCCCATGCTAGAATTAATGTTGGATCTTTCTCTCATTTGTGCCATGCAGTTTTACTTATTGAAAGAGAAAAATTGAACACCAGACACGGAAGATGAGTATGAGAAGCAAAACATTCTGCTGGGTGCTACATAGAAGGTTAGGTTGGAAAGTGTTTGATTTTAAGTTAAGCTTACTATTGACATTTCCTTATCTCATTAAACACGGTTGAAGTGGGTGTGTGTGCGTGTGGCCAAAAACAGTGCCATAATGTACAATTCTTCCTTTGCTCTGTTTTTGAGAGTTGATGGCATCAGGCACTTTCAAATGTTTGGGGAAACTGATTGGGATACCTCCCCCAAACCAACTCAATTCTGTAACCAGAAGCCAGGTAGTTGGTTTTCTGGTCTGCTTTGTCCTCCTCCTTTTATTGTCATCTTATTCACCAGCACTTAATGTAAAGTAGATGTTTTAGAATTGCAGTATTTATTGGTTTTGTATTTGTTGTCCTTAGAAATGTTAATGATGTATTTTTATATTAATATAAATTTATGTACAGTGTGTATGTGTATGTATTTCAGGATTTAGAGGATTGTACTTTGTGTGTGATGGTTTCTATGTCTTCATAATAAATGTCCCTTTTATAAGAGGGTGAGTTTTTCCTCAAAGGGCTGAGTTGCATATGTAAAGCAAAGAGCTCATCAGAAGTACATATGACAAATAACCCCACTATCTTCCACCTTAATATCTTAGTGAATTGTTTGGGGCTTTATAGTCATCTTGATCACTCAGCTTCCAGTCTATCCTACCAGCCATCCTGCTCATTACTGCTCAATTCCCTAAAGTAGTAGTTAGAAACCTACCTATATTCCCTCCCCACATCTCCTAATAAAGCCTGGATCTATTGACCTGGCATTTTAGGACTTTCTACATGTAATCCTAATAGTTTATTTATTTATTTATTTTTAATTTTTGTTGTTGTTGAGACAGAGTCTCACTCTGTTGCCTAGGCTAGAGTGCTGTGGCATCAGCCTAGCTCACAGCGACCTCAAACTCCTGGGCTCAAGTGATCCTTCTGCCTCAGCTGAGTAGTTGAGAATACAGGCATGCACCACCATGCCCAGCTAAGTTTTTCTATGTATTTTAGTTGGCCAATTAATTTCTTTCTATTTTTAGTAGAGATGGGGTCTCGCTCTTGCTCAGGCTGGTTTCAAACTCCTGACCTTGAGTGATCCTCCCGCCTCAGCCTCCCAGAGTGCTAGAATTACAGGTGTGAGCCATTGCGCCCGGCCAATCCTAATAGTTTAGTTTCCTTCCTCTCCCATATATGAAGTCTCTGTTCCCATTAATCTGAACAGTTCCCAGTCAGTTCCTCACTTAAGTGCCTTTGCTCATGCCATTGAGTTCCTAGAGAGTCTTGCATCCCTTTTGTACCTATCAAACCTACTCTGCCTATGTAAGCCCCAGTGATCCAGCTCTAAGTGATCCTTCCCCCTGCATTCTTACAACATTCATGTATACCATCCCTGTGACTCTTACCACACTCTACCTTGTATTTAAGTGATCTGAGTGTATGTCTTACTGCCTTCTAAATTATAAGCTCCTCAATGTTATAGCTGTCTCCTACACATCTAGTTCTTCAGTGTCATCTTTGACCTGGGGTTCAAAACCTATTTGTGAACTTTCAATTATACATGATGAATTGAAAACAGGTATTTCTCTGCCACCTACTAAATCCCTTAATGTGAGTTTCAAACATGTTCAAGAACTAGAGAAGTTCTGCTACTGCTATCACCTGTGATAGTTTACCTGCTCTAGACCAGAGAATGCCCTTTTAGAGAAAGCATTCCATTTTAAGGAAAGTACATTGCTTACCATCATTGGCCCATCTTTTATTTCAAAGAAAACATCTGGGTGAGAACAGTATATTTTTGTGATCTAGAAAAGCATGGCTGATTGACTAAACAGGGACAGCATTATAAATGTCCTACTGTACGTCTTTAGAGATTATTTTTCTAATAAATAATTATTTGCCAAAAGATTGTTTTCCCCTTTCTCTTTCTCATTCCAAATGCTATCCTGTAATGCATCTGTTGGCTGTGAGGAGCATCATCCTGAAAAACATAGCATTGGAGCCTTAATCCTTTTTAAAGTTTTTTCTTACTGGTATTCTCATTGCTTCTTGCTCTCTTTGGTCTCTCATATTTTAGGCATCTGATGATTTTCTTGGCTTTCCTTCTATAGTTAGAGCACTTAAAGTTCACAGGATGTTAATTATGTTGATGTTGAAATGCCATCATTAATTGTTCTTTATCTTTTTGTTACCCATTTGTCACATTTTTTAAATGGACACTTGCTAACTGCTCCTTGGTGTTGGTTCTCTAGCTCTTGCTTATTATAGCTCTTCTGGACTCACCCAAACCAGGGTAGTAGAAATGGAACTGGTGAAACTCATCCTATTGTCTCTGTGGCTTCAAAATGGTGTTTCGACTTCCATAGGAACTTTGTAATGAAGCCAAGAAATTCCATTTCCAATGGGATGCTCTGATCCCTTCTGTTTCCTTCAGAATTGAGGCATCACAGGAAAGTGAACAGGCAGAGCAGGAAGTAAAGAAGTGAGGAAATGGGCAGGTAGGTCACTGTTGGTCCCAGAGATCAGATAACATGGCTTCTTACCAGTTCTCAACTAATTCCATCTCTAAGCATTTGAGTGTGCTCCATTTTCTGTGTTCTTAATCATTTGAGAGCTGTAAGACTATCTGATCCCTGCATGTCTGTCCTTCACTTCACTGGAGAGCCTTGCAACCCTCCCCCCCAGAGAGTAGACAAACAATGGTCCAAATTCATAAGTTCTGATGGACTATAACTGACTTTTTGGCACTTTGGAGGTGTGTCCCTCACTATGCCTGAAGAGGCCACCAGCCTTCTTACCCTTTGCCTGGCAGTTTTTCTTCTTGAGTATTTGGGGACTTCAGATGATACCAGGTGTAGCTGTGAGGCTCCTGGTTGGCGTGAGTGCTGGCAGAGCCTGTTAATTAGCACAGGAACACCCCAATGCTCCATTAGCCAGGCCAGGCATTTGGAACCTTCCCCTCCTGGGGGCCCCTTCCTCCTAATGAGAGCTGGAAGAAGGGCCTCACAAAACACTGCCTCAGAATAATATTCTGCTTTGTCCCCACCAGTAACCAGGGCTGACAGGATCACTCTGTCCATTTCTCTTCTAATTAGCACAATTCCAGCATGGCCTGAGCCAGCAAATGGAGAAAAGCGATCAAAAGCGATCGGACAACCGTACCGAATCACAAACACAAAGAGGGCCATTCCCTGTAATTAGGTGAGACAATTCCTCAGTCTTTTCTCGGCTGGAGTTTGCCGCTAAGACTCTTGCTGTTTGGGTCCCAGCAACACAAGTTACATGTCTCCCTGGGACACTAATAAGCCCCAAATTGTCTTCCGCTTCACACAACTCTAACCAGAGGGCAGATGCGGGGGGGGGGGGGGCAGGCAGTGCAGTGAGGGGACAGGATCTCTAAACAAGCAGCTGCTGCAATGGTTCCCCAACTCCAAGAAGCAGACATCAGGGCTATGGGCAGAGAGAGAAGAGGAAGTTGGTTAGAGAGGAGAACTGCTCTGGGCACAGCCTGGTCCCCATCACTTGAGCTGGAGTCTAAAGCACTTAGAATTCCTGACCCTCAGGGGAAGCCCCCTCTTTGCTATTTGCCTTGGCCTGTTCATTTCCCACCTTCTATTCTCCCCTTTTGGTCTCCTCACCCCTTCTCCCACCTCTCCACACTAGTGGCATCCTGAGCAGCTGCAACTGTGGCACCATTCAGGGAACTGCATTAAAGCCCTTCACAAACCGTAAAGCCCTAGACAATTCTAGTTACCATTGCAGGGAGAGCCAACACAGGACACAAGTGAATTCTGCCCTTGAAGAGCTCATGACCTGGAAGGAGCACCCACTTCCCCCCTCACCTTGGCCCTCATTTCTAGCCCCCATTACTTTCGTGTCTTTGACTCTTCCCCAATCCCTGTTCTCTCCTGAAAGATCTCTCTCTTTTTTTTTTTAAACAGGAAAAGTGGCCCATCAACTGCCAGGGCAAGAAGCCATAACTGGCTGCACTCCATGTGGCTCAGAGAGAGGTTGGCCACTTAATGAACAAAAACAGCTCCCCCAGGATTGCAGCCCATTACAGGGATTACTTGGGGCGATACAGCCATAAACTTGGTCATAGCCAGGGACAAAGGAATGCAGGGGAGAGTGGCAGTTGGAATCTCAATTAAACTCAAGCATTGAGCAGAATTGGGCTTACACATATTTTCATCTCTTTTGCCCTCTGCTTTCTGTCTTGATCTATACCTGCTGCTTCCAAAAGTGACCACCAATACCAGAAAACACTCAATTATGTAGAACCCAAAGAGCCAAAAAACTCCAGTAATCAGAGTCACATTGTTATTTTTCCATCCTCTCTACTTGAGACACAGAGGGATAACAATAATATTTGGCTTTTTAAATAATTTTTGGGAGATGTCAAAGAATTGATCCAGATTTGGTCAGTCTCCTACAGGTTCTTTGGTTATAAAGAGAACTTAGTACCTGGCACATAGTAGGTACTTGGTAAGAATTTGTTTAAAAGAATGAACTCTACCACGATATTCAGTGTTCATAGCCTTGTTGTTGGTCTAAGGTATAGTAAGAGCTTGGATATCGAGAGAGGCAGGGATGAGCTTGTGCAGGTCACTTTTCTCTGAGCCTCAGTTACCTTGGGACCCTTTCCAGTTTAAGGGCAGCCCAGCATCATGGATAAGGGCATAGACTCTGAGGTCAAGCTGCCTGGGTCCAAATCCTATTCCTGCCATCTACTAGCTACATTGTGTACATTGCTTAACTTATCTGTGCCTTGACTTACCCATTTATGAAGTGGGTCCAATAACAGCACCTCACTAGGAGAGTATTTGGAGAGATTGAGTACTTGCAAAGTGTTTAAAATGGTGCATGCCATATACAATTGCTTGACTGATAGATCTATAAAATTGAATTCAATGTATTTAATGTTTTATTATACTCATATTTGTTAAAAATTGGTAATCCCTGAAAGGAAAATATGGTAACTCTTGCTTACCTTGAGTAGTCAGTTAATCAAGCAAAGTACTATTTTCCTAACCCTTCAGAAGAGCTAACAGTTTACTATTTCTCCTACCCCTGTACTTCTACCCTCTGAGGCAACCCTGTGCGGGCATTGACACTAAGTAGATACCATGGCATTAAAAACTACTTGTTGCTGATGAGCAAGGGAGGAAAAGATATTCTTTGTGACATTGGCAGGTTTCTGAGCTGATGTGGGGCGTGGCATAAGCCTCAAATCATTGTGCTTCACTAGGCTTTGTGGTCCTACTATTTTCTGAGCACCCATGCTATTCCAGTCACTACACAAGAACACACTTCCCTGTTTTATTCTGTCATAACCTACCCCAGCCCTCCACCCTTCCTCCAGATAGTTTTCTGTGGTCTTAGGTTTGTCAAGTTCCCTTTCCAGGGCTGAGCAGGGTCCCCTCGGGCCTTAGCTCCCCTGGCAGCTTCCTCTGGGCTTTACCCTCTCTGGGAGCCCATGGAGAGAGCCTGGCCTGACTCTGCAGCTTGAGG